CAGCCCATAAGTATATAAGGAGTGTGCACCAGGAATTTCATAGATTTCATAGATTAAGGGTCGGAAGGGACCTAGTAGATCTTCTAGCCCGACCCCCCGCCAGGGCGGGAGAACAACAAAAAACCCCAAAAAGAGAAACGGGACTCAAACGAGTCCAGCCAGGTAGGCATCCAGCCTCTTCTTAAAGACCCCCAGGGTAGGGGCCAGCACCACTTCCCTTGGAAGTTGGTTCCAGCTCCTAGCCGCCCTAACCGTGAAGTAGTTTTTGCGGATGTCCAATCTATACCTCCTCTCCATCAGCTTGTGCCCATTACTCCTTGTTATGCCAGCGGGCGCTAGGGGAAACAGCGTCTCCCCCAAACCCTTCTGGTCCCCCCTAGTGAGTCTATAGACAGTCACCAGGTCCCCCCTTAGCCTTCTCTTGTGGAGGCTGAATAGGTTCAGGTCCCGCAGTCTCTCACTGTAGGGTCTGCCCTGTTGTCCCCGGATCATGCGGGTGGCCCTCCTCTGGACCCTCTCCATATTGTCCACATCCCTCTTGAAATGGGGCGCACAGAACTGGACACAATACTCCAGCTGTGGCCTGACCAGCGTCGCGTAGAGGGGGAGGATCACCTCCTTGGCTCTACTCGAGATGCACCTGTGGATGCACGACAAGGTCCGGTTAGCCCTGCCAACGATGACCTCGCATTGTCGGCCCATGTTCATCTTGGAGTCAGTAATGACTCCAAGATCCCTTTCTGCCTCCGTGCTCTCGAGTAAGGAGTTCCCCATTGTGTAAGTGTGCTGCTGGTTCCTACTGCCCAAATTGGAAGAACATCTGTTCACCAGGGCACCCCAAGAAAAGACAAGTTCTAATGGTCACAAAGAAAAACTTCTTTACTGCTCGAGTCTCCAGAGTCTGGAATAGACTCCCCCAGAAGTGGTGCAAGCATCTACTCTGGATACCTTTAAGAAACACTTGGATGCTTATCTTGCTGGGGTCATCTGACCCCAGCTGACTTCCTGCTCCTTGGGCAAGGGGCTGGATCTGATGGTCTCACGAGGTCCCCTCCAGGCCTAATGTCTATTAACTTTATTAAACCTATGAAACAGTCCTGTACTGGTACAGGGAAACCAAGATTAACCCAGGCTCTTGCTTCTTTATGAGCCCAAAGACTTGTAAAATTCATGGGACAAGATTTTTCAGTGGCCAAGGCAGATGTGGGAAGCTTGAGAAACAGGGATTGTGTATATTCAGGCTCTTTCCCTTATAATAGAGAGAGACCAGTAGGAGGTACGGGCTACCTTTGATCTTCACTAGCACAGGGAGAATTGGGTAGTTTAGACTGAGATCTTGGGCAAGTTAAGTCAGTTTTGGAATTCGGGGACCAGGAGGACTCCAGAAAAGATCCAACCAACTGCTCTGAAAGGCAACAGTGATCCTGGGATGAGGATACCAGGAAAGAGGGGGGCCTAAGGGACCAAAAGAACCTGTATATGTGAAATTGGCTAACTTAAGGAAACCCATGGGAGGCAGAATAGAAGGAAAGCAGGCAAGGTGCTTGGAGGACCAACCCTGACCCTGAGGCAGTAAGCATCTGCAGATGTACCCATTCACATTTTTTTTCACTTATTTTTTTTTTGTAGGACTGATGTAAGCAGGTGGCTGCAGGCATAGCCTGAAGTGGTTTGGAAAACCTCAGCCTCTTATTATCTTGCTATTATAATAAGATATTGCTTGTATCATAGTACTATGTATGAGCCCCAGGCATGGGATCCCACTAGGCAAGGTGCTGTACAAATACAAAATTAAAATCTGGTCTCTGTGTCTAGGAACATTACAAAATAAGTATAAGACAAAAAGTGAATGTATATAATGGGGCCCCCGCCCCATTACTGAGAGGGGGAGGGAACCCATGGCCCATCAGCAGCCCCTTAAACACATTTAAGGGCAAGAAGGGCCTTAAATACAATGGCCACCTGCCCCAGGTATAGATGGTGATTGGCAGGCCTAGGTAGAGGGTCAGGTGACCTAGGGAGAGGCTCATAAGCACAGGGCTTGGCCCAGAAGGGGAGTCTGGCCATGGGAGCTGCAGAAGGCAGAGCTCCAGGGAGTAGCCAGTCTAAACTGCCTGGGGAGAAAGCAACCTATACCACACAAGGGTGGAAGAAACCCTGCACTGCAAGCAACACAAGATAGTGCCTTGAGCCTTTTGCACTGGGGCTTCTGTGGGGTAAGATTGACCCTGACAGGGGAGCTTGTGCTTTGCAAGTTTTATGTTTGGGGAGCGGATGATCATGCTTTTGACCAGGTGTGGCTGTAAGGGGAGTATTGGAGGCCACCAGGTGCTGCAGGGCCACCCAGCACAGAGCACCCCCAGGCCCTGAAGCCTGGTGGGTTGTGTAGAGCAGAGACATAAGCATTTTGGAGGGAGGACTGTGGCATGCAGAGGACTGAATACCTGGCAGCAAAGACTGAGGGTACAAGCCCAGAATCTGTGAGTGCCATAGTGAGGAGGCCGAGAGGTCCATAGATTGAGAGGCAGGCTGGGGTCCATAAACCTGGGATTCAGGCACGGTGAGCCCCAGGCAGAAAGAACCCAGCTAGATTAACATGGGCCAAGGCTGAAAGAGGTCTCAGCTCTAACAAGAACCTAACCCAAAACCCACTCCTACCTTATAGGGGAGCCTTCCTATGAATTGTAACATCAAGGCATGGCAGGTAAGATAATAGTGTGGGCAAACCCTGGAAGGCCAGTGGGTGGTAATGAGATAGGACCCAGGTGGCAAGCCAAGCATGAGACCTCATAGATCCAGTGATGGACACATTACAGCGTACGCCAAAACTGTTGCCTAAAAAGCCAGCAACAGTTCTCATGTAAGTGTACCTTCTTGGTGTTCTGAGCAAACAACACAGGGATTTTTCAAATAAAAGACACAAGTTATTATATCATTTACTACTTTAATCTTCCTTTAACACCTTTACACTTTTTAAGTGCTATCAAGACATTTTTATCATCTCTATTATTGTGAGCTTCCAAAAACCTGATTTCTTTCTCCTGATCATTTTACAACCCTGCTATTCATCCACACTGGTCTTCTTTTATCCCCACATTCATTACAAAGACAATCTTTATGAACAAAATATTTTTCCTTTGAATTATCTGCCTCTCACACACTATCTCATCCCATTTCATTGTTTTCAGTAAATCTGACATAGTCTCCGAGTATAATGTTCTTATCAGAGCTAGTGTTTTTCTCAGTTCCACCCTCTCTCTGAATTTTTTTTTTCTGCAATTATTTCATGGTCTAGTTATTCTTTCTGATAGGATGGCTTATTGCACATCCTTGCTTATTTTATGTAGAATCTCCCAACTTTTAAAACCCGCTGTCAGTCTGCATAGTACAAGAAAATAAAACAGATAGTGTTGCAGACACGCAATAGGGATAATGAGGACTCAAAATCTATTAAAATATTTTTAAATAATTGTATGATTGAAGAATCATAAAATGCAGGGTCTTTTATGGTGCTGCAGAGAATTGGCATTAAGTGAAAATATTTTCTCATCAAACTTTTCACTTAGAGAAAAAGAGGCAAAGAAAACATGAAAATAAACACATTGTATGACTACAAATCCATAGGCCTTTAGATCCTATATTCCTGTCATGGTGACCTTTATGCCAGTATTCATCTGGGATGAAATTCTCTCCCCATTTCAGAGAGCCAGCACAATTCCTCATGATCTATTTTTAATTTCAGGGTTTCCTACTCAGCCCTACAGTATGCCAGTGCCTTCCATGCAAACCAGATTGGCAATATCTAATCCTTAATGGAATTCATGGAAATCCCAGCACCTCTCTCTTCTTGCATTATGGAAAATTGCTTTGTAAGGGGAGGGAAGCAAAGGACAATATGTTACAATAAAGAGGACATTATCATTGTCGGGTTCATTGTCACTATTGACATTTGTCATTTTCAGCATTATAAAAATAGGAATTAGACAGTCCTTAGACTTGAAATGCATTCTGCCTAATGACGACTTTACTCTCACCATATATTTGTATTGACCTTGTGGATTCAAAACTCCCAATTCTATTACCAAATATTGCCCATGTCGTAGATGCCAGTGTTAAACAGGATAATCAGGGCTATTTAACACCTAGGTGGTTGAGGACTGTGGGCCCCTTGGGTTGCACACCATGCGAGTGCTCCTCTGCTGCATTGTGCATATGGGAGCACTCCCCCACTGTGAATGGCTCTGTCTTCCTGAGGGAGGCCTGGCACCCAGTTTGCTGGACTTACAATAGACTTTTTCTATTTTCCAACACATACCTTATCTAACCAGCACTAAGCAGAAGTAAAGTTTAATAGGTATCTCAGGCCGTACATTCCCCAGTCCCACTATGGGAAGCCTACTTAAATTTGATTGACTAAAACTCGGTTGCCAGGTTAGGGAATGCTGAGGCAAGAGACCGAGTCAGAAGGGGTATGGGTGACATTTGAACAATGGTTAAGGGTTCATCATAGCATTCAGCCCGTTGGAGCCCTGACCACAAATACTGTCATACTTTTCCCGGGATGACTGGTGGAAGTCCTCCCCACAAAGTTTATGAACATTCATGCTAAACTGAGGCTTATTCACAACAGGTAAAATATAAAACCCTGACATGACAAGCCATCTGAGAAGGAAAAATGAGATATCCCATCCAGTATATCTGCTATCCATAAGGATTTCAAGCTGGCTCCTAAGTGTCTGGTTACTCCTTAACCTTATGTTTTTCCTGGTTGTTAATCAGTTTCTTGAGATGTTCCAAACCAGATAACCCCTTGTCACTATAAAAGACAACTATTTACACAATTAAAAGAATGCTTTGAAGAAGCTAAACTAAGGGTATAAAAAAAGCTGTAAAAGCAGCAAAAGGTGTGCTTCAAGAGAGAAATCTCTCTGACACAATCCGCTATTGTTCTTGAGAAGCTGGAAGAAACAGATTGTCTCCCTTCAAGGATTGTGCTAAGAACTTTACCCATCAGCAGTGGAAACTGAGTGCCTTGGACTGGTGAGACCTCGGTTCTCTCTCTCTCTTCTTCTCTCTAGGCATAGCTTTCTGAACCTGAATCGTATTAGTTAAGTTGAGCTAAGTTTCCCCAAATACTTAGTGAAACCAGGTTAGTATTGTAATTGTTTGGTTTGTTTTCCTTTGCATGTCTATTATTACTAGTACCATTATACATTTCATATACTCAGCAATAAATAACTTTTATAGTCAAACTGGTAGGAACTGAGTATATTTTTCTTTCTCTACTTCCCCTTCCCTACTCGCTCTGCAGTAACACTTCTTTTACATAAGCCAAAGATCCCTGTGAAGACCAGAAATACTGTGGGGCCCACTCATCAAGAGGCTACCACTACTAGAATAGTTAGGGCAAACAATTGGGACGTGCTGAGTTTAAGACACATAAGGGGATCAGCTTGTACAGACTGGTTGACCCAGTTTGGCTGAGACATGCTGTAATGAACTGAATGCCGGCCCATGAAGGCGTCAGCTGGACACCCAGTTGAATTCAGAGGTATTCTGTTTAGTTGTGTGCTTGTGTCTGACTGCATTGTATTGTTACCTTAATGAACTGATTCCTGGCATATGAGTGTGTCAGCCTGTCCATGATGATCAATCCAGCTGGGTCAGGCAAGTCACATTAATCTGTGTGTGTTTGTGTGTATGACTGATCTGGTGACTGGAGGAACCCAGCCCCATTGAAACTGAGTCCAGCAAGATAGCTCCATTAGGGGTGAGGACTTGCAGAAGGGAGAGATACAGATCCGTATAGAAAGACAAGTAACACAAGCAGCACATTGATAGAATTACAAAGACCCTAGAAATGTATCCCTAATAAATGAGCACACCCCAAAGTGGTGGGTAAATCTAGTAACAACACCCCCTGGAGATGGGGCAGGAAACAGAAGCCAGAGGATGAAGGGAGAGCCCAGAGACCCAGCTGCTGTTGCAGCTGGCGCGATGGAAAGAGCAGCCGCTGAGTGGAAACCGAGGGCCTGTAAATCAGTCCCTCTCAAGCCACATGGGGACCACGTTCTATTCTTTTCTGGTCATCTAAATGGCTACTTTTTCATCATCTACAGGGCATTTTTGGTACTTAGGTGACTTGGAGAATTCTGTTCCTATATGTGTAACCCAACACACATGGATGACTGTGTAGTTGTGCAGATCAAACATGTGTGTCCCTTGTGGACCTTAGATGTCTGAAAATGGGGTCAGCTGAAGGAATAGAAAAGGGCCTTGTCTATTTGTAAGATTTCTTCATCATTGTGGCATGGATATGGTACTCTGTATAAGATTTGTCATTATGATTTAACAGTGTCTACCCAGCCCTCCTAAGGATTCAGAACTATATTATATTTCCTCTTCCATTATGCTTTTCTTCTTGTATAATTTATACACTTTCATGTTAAAGATAAGATTTGTCAGCAATTATTTTTAACTCCCAAGTTTACATTGTACACATAAGATCATGATCTCCCAGTGTGAACACACTTCCAGTTATTGTACAGACTTGGTTAAACTTCTACATGTTGCGTATGCAGCAGCCCTGCTAATAAGTTCTGTTGTTAAACATATTTCCTGCTGCTAATGTCCACAGAAGTCTCAAAGTTGATTTGTCATTTTATACAGTGCCTCACATTTACCATAATTCTCTAGTCATATTCATTAGTTTGAACAAATGACATTATGCACAGTGAGAATTTGCTAACATAAAACATAATAGCATGCAAAACACTGACAAAATAAACGTCTTATTTTTCACCACCAGATGACTGAGCCCACAGGGTGCTGAGTGCCATCAGTTACCATGGACTTCACAGGCTAAAGCTCCCTTTTCAAACATACATTTAACAGATGAAATTCCTGAATCTCAGCTCAGTGATTGGCAGAGGCTTCATACAGATGTTACATATACGGGGGGTTGCATATGCCACAAAATCAGCCTTTAAAGCAGCTTTAATGACCTTTTGCACTGCTTTAATAGTGCTGCTGTTTACACTGCCAGGGAGTATTGAGTGTTTAATGACTTTGGGACATAGCAAAATAAAACATGTTCAAGGTTTCATAGTTTCATAGATTTAGGGTCGGAAGGGACCTAGTAGATCTTTGAGCCCGACCCCCCGCCAGGGCGGGAGAACAACAAAACCCCAAAACAAAAATGGGACTCAAATGACTCCAGCCAGGTAGGCATCCAGCCTCTTCTTAAAGACCCCCAGGGTAGGGGCCAGCACCACTTCCCTTGGAAGTTGGTTCCAGCTCCTAGCCGCTCTAACTGTGAAGTAGTTTTTGCGGATGTCTAATCTATACCTCCTCTCCATCAACTTGTGCCCATTGCTCCTTGTTATGCCAGCGGGCACTAGGGGAAACAGCGTCTCCCCCAAACCCTTCTGGTCCCCCCTAGTGAGTTTATAGACGGTCACCAGGTCCCCCCTCAGCCTTCTCTTGTGGAGGCTGAATAGGTTCAGGTCCCGCAGTCTCTCACTGTAGGGTCTGCCCTGTTGT